ATAGAGCAGGTCTAGAAAATACTGGTGATAGGATCAGTGGCATATGATGACCGTCATATTTTTGACATCTGTTAGATAGAATACAATGATTTATTTTGCACACAACATGTTAATGGCTCCCTGTGACTAATGAAGGTAAAAAAGTAATACTGTAGTGAGTCAGAATTATGATGAAAGTAGCACATGTACACTGCTGGTGACACATTGAACTTTAAACTAACAGTCCCTTGTGTGTAAAGGAATGTATGAATAGGCGTTTGTTTCAGGTGTATGAACACCTGATATATCTATACCTAGATAAAGTAAGCCTCAAGTTCCAGCTGTCAAACAGCTGAGATTTAATTTGTAAGGCCGTCCAAAATAAACTATATGTGTGTGTTGTTGTTGTTTTGTTTGTTTTCAGCAGGACGGATTTTGAGGGGAAAGTGGAGCGATGACCAGGCTGATGGAGCTTGCAGAAATGTCTGTCCACCAACCAGGTCACTCACAAGTTCTGAACCAGATGTGGGACATCTGGCATGAAATATAGCCTCCTGTCTGGTCTTGCAGGATGTGAGAATTAAAAAAGTGTGTCTTTGAAGACATCACATTCAAGGAAAACCTACCTGGATATAAAATGTAATAAAATGTATTGTTGAATGCAGTTGGTTGCCTTGTATATTTTGCACTGTTTACCAAAACTTCTTTCTTGACTTAAACTAAACAGCTTCTGGCATTCATTTATATTTACTTGTTGTGCATGAGTATGTGAATGTGTCACATGAGAATGTTAGTAATTATGACAATAGAATCATGAGAAAAAAATATATCCATACTGTAATGTATTATACCTTATGGAGCACCCCCCCCCCCCCCCCCATTCCCTCCAATATTAAACAAAAAAATTTGATTAAATTTAAAGTTCTTAATTGGCATGAAGGTTTTAAGAGCAGTGTTTCCAAAGCATCAAAATACAATTTGTCAATACACACAGTATACAGCAAGTTAAAAATGGTTATTAGTTATAAAACTAATGGTTATTAGTTATAAAACAAAATACAAAGTGAATGGACAGAAGAAAAATTAAAGTTTGGTGGAACTCTATATTTTTTGTAAGGCATATCATCAGGTGATTAAACAAACAAAACAGGTACTAATGATCATACATTCAATATGTAGGTGGAAACTGAAACTGGAGTCATACTGATACACCATGGCAAGAGAAAGCACAGTAGCCAGACACAAGGTAGAGCTACTGCATCAGCAAGGCCTCTACCAGGCAGCAGGTGGTGTGGACTGATCAGTCAAAATGTGTCTGTGTCCTGGTTAATAGTTTAGCCTCCTTTTGGGGAAATGTTATTGATCGTATTTAGGAATGTAGTTAATTAATTCAGTAACCATCTCTCTAGTTACATTTCAACAGACCACACTGTGAACGCTGTCTGTCCATCACTCCCAGGATAGAATACACTAACTATACGTGTAGTCAACATTGTAATCAATGCACATTATGCATTAATATTTACCGAAAATTGCTGCAAATTAAGTCACTGCTGTAAATGTGTAATGTTACGTTAAGGGAACAGCCGCTTTTCCTTCCAAAATTAAACAAAAACTGATTAAATCTGTGTCTCCGCCACTCTCCAGAACAAATGTTATTATATGTATGTAATGTAAGTGTCAACTCAGTAATCAGTGTCATGTTTTGTTAATATTTACTGATTACTGCTGTAAATATAGCTGCTTCTGGTGTCCATCCCGCCTAAACCCATTCAAACTTCTTGACAGCGCTAAGTTGTTTGGAACTATGGAGAATTACATGAACCACGTGACCGTGTAGCGGCGAGATCAAAGAGTGTCGTAACTCTCTTATTTAACGGCCTTGGCCCTGCCTATTTAATCAGTTTGAATATTATTTGTATGAAAATTAGGCTATCGAATTACATATCATTTACAAATCATTCATTGGGTCTAGCTCCAAGAGACAGCCATTTAAGTCGCTTTGGATAAAAGCATCAGACAAATGTAAATATTCATATTTTTGACAGCTTCAAGGTAGTGAGTCACCAGTCACCACTTAGTCTCTCTTCCATATCAGTAAATCTGAATGAATTATACTTTGTTGCTCATTGTTTCTGTAAAGTGAACTAAATTATTGAATTGTGGAGAATCTAACCATTTTTATGATGTGTAGCATTTCCATATTGACAAAAGTTTAAAGTTTTCGCTCAAGCAGGTGACCACTTGGGCTTTAATTTTCTACAAAAAACACAACAGGCCAGCAAAAGGGACAGGCGTCTAACTGGGACTAGGCTTTTTAGTGAAGAAGATAACATTCTGTCTAGAAATTCAAAACGCGTCATAAAGCTTGCCAAGCAGCTAGCGGGGTCAGGCATGCTCTCAAACCAAGCTAGTCTGAGCGGAGGCCCTTTGGCTCGACTCACCTTTGTTTGGTTTTCCATTGCAGAAATGTTACACCTGTACCTGCTTCCAGGTACTTTTTTTCATTTCACCTCACCTCCATCGAGGTTCCAAGCGAGCTGAGGCGATACTAAAATGTAATGTGAAAACATGACAGACTGCTGATTGGTCAGAGAGAATATTCACTATTCACTGCATCATCATCGCGTGCACCAGACAGAGGCCAGCAACAGAAAGTTTTATATTTTACAGTTTTCGTATCGAATTTCATCACTAAATCCACTTCTTAGAAGTTTTGAGGTGAGAAATCAGCTGTGTAGATTTCGAATATTGACAGTTTTATGAGAAGTGATGGCGGAACAAAAATGTGCTTGAATATTGTCGGCGTTGAGGAGCTCCGCATGTGGCTGCGGGGGAAGCCTGTGCCAACCCGCGGGAGGAGCATGTGCTCCCGCCGTCACACAGACCGCTGCAGCAACAACGGCAGAGGAAACACAGCTGGAAGTTTTCATACCGCTTAGCTGTCTTTACATTCTGAGTAATGTTGAAACGTTTTAACTTAAAAAAGAGAAAGCTGTGTGGATCGCTGGTGTGTGTGTCGCACTGAACATTACGTCGTGGCAGTTGTGTGTGGTGTCGCTATGACAACAAGCTACGTGCTATCTCTGGGTACTATCTGCAATGGAAAACGGAGCAGGGCCGAGTAGAGTCGAGTCTATCGATTTGCGCTATGGTAGCATTTTTCGTTTAGTCCTAATGGTAAGATGTGGAACAATGATGTTGTGTGGTTGTGGACTTGTGAGTAACTTATAACATCTGCTAGGTTGCTAAGGTCTGAAGCGGCTTTGATTTGGATCACACTCCCTTGTTTCTTACGACCCGCCCTTCTCTGCTTCTGATTGGCTAGTACTCCTTACCTTAACAGCACATGTGCAACTCCGAACAAAAATTTTGTAAGTAAGAGGCATCACTCTGTAGCTCAAGAGCGGAACGTACAACACATAGGGTGAAAAGAGGAGCTGCAGCAATGTGCAGTATGAGAAAAATATGGTGTATTTTGAAAATTAAACCATGTAAACTTAGAAAGGAGATTTCATGGAGCTGTTGTTCTCTGTCTGGGTCTGCTGAGTGTTTTCCTGCTGACTCAGTAAGTGATTCATCATCAGAACTTTCCACTATCAAAGCCAACCTGACGGAGAGTTAATAAATAATAAATTAATAAAACAATGGTTAATTAATTTGGTATAATACAAAATGGTTTAATAATTTAGTGTTGAATAAAACACCACAAAGTAAATGGTAATCAGCCCATAAACATTTAGTTTGCAGGATTTGTTTTGTGTTTTCGACTGTCAGCAGCAGCTGAGCTGGTTGCAGGTTTACACATTCTCAATCATGTGGATTGTACTGTTAGTCCTTCTTTAATATTGTTTCTGCACATGTTTCAGATGTAACTAGGCCTATAGAAAATGTATTACATCTGGCAGTTGTTTATTCTAAACAGGGCAGATCTAAACGGTTTTAATATTTAAAAAAAGCTCACTATTCACTACAGTATAGCTCCCTTTACCGCAGTTTTGTGTCCGTGCAGAGCTGTTAGAGCGTCCACACGAACAAGAAGTAAGACATAGCTGGTAGAATTGTCATCAAATAGAGTTGCCATTCACTTCAGTTCACTAAAGGAAGGCATCTCTTGTGACTGTGTGGGAGCAAGGCTTGTTGATGTGTAGATTTAGAGTCTAGTCAGAGGCAAGAAGTTGACCCCTTCGGACGCAGCCCCTTCACATTTACATAACCAGGATGGGCCTCATTTTTCTGTTGATATACAGTCATAATTGGGGTATTTTTTACTCAGAGGTCCCTCACCAGCAACAAGAGAGTTTTATCCCATCGAATTGTCTGAGCTTTTAAAAACAGTATCACAAATGAGAGTGTCCTCCAGCCCACTTGATGTAATACCTACAAAGTCCCTATCTACTGGTTGTGTCCCTGATTATTTTAAAATGGCTTGCCATTCACATTTGCATAACCAGGATGGGCCTCATTTTGCTGTTGACATACAGTGAATATTGGGGTTTTTTATCTTATTTTGAAAACCTGCCCATCCTGTCTTTCCTGTTGTGATAAGTCCATTTTGGGCTTTTTATTTTGAAAATTGGAAATTAAACTGTTGTGTGTGTGCATGTGCACAAATGCCTGCCGAGGTACATTCATGTGTTTCTCCTATGCTGTATGATTTAAAGGTACACGATTCAAGAGCTGGGATATCATACTGTAAGTAAATGCACTTAGTAACATAAGTATTAATGGGGTTTAAAAGTAGGGCTCACATTGTATGAACAGTGTGGAATATTTTAAGGTCTGAATGTAGTTTGAAACTAAAAGTATGAATAAAGAAGAATTGATGCTTCCACCATTCACACCAATTAATTGTTATGTCTTTGGCTATTTATCCCCAACAAAAATAGATCCCACATTAGAACAGAAACTGTACTTGTAGAATATTTACTTTTGAGAAATGAATCACTCTTTCCTTGGGAGAACATTTTATTTAATTATTTATTAAAAACATTACTGTGTATCATTAATCTGAAAACTGTGATCCTTTTTAGTAGAAAAGTGAAAGGTTTGGCATTTATAGGTGCATTTCAAGGTTGCAGGTTTTTAGCTACAGCTACAATTTGGTGAAGGTGTTTTACAAACATACAAGAGCACTTATTACTAAAGCTTTGCATAACAGCTTACATAAAAGCATTTACAAATATATGATCTTGAAAAAGTTATCCATCAGAGTTATGCAATTTTTTCACAGATCCATTGCAGAGAAGTTTGACATGACAGGTCGTTCCAAGATTGTGATCAGCATTGATTTGTACACAGTCCTCTTCACCCCATATTGGGTCCCCATCACCATTATCAGGCTGATTTATCGCCCAGTACCTAGCAGGTCAGTAAACAAGTGAATCATGACACTGTTCTTTTACTTATTGAACACAGAAAAAACACTGTAGAAGTAAAAAGACAGTAACAGCAGACAAGCAGACAGAGCACGCAGAATCTACATACTCAGTTGTAGTGAACAACAGTGTGGATTTGTGCATTTTACATTGAATAAATTTGGAGCTACCCTAAATTCCTTTCTCCTCCCCAGAGAAGAAGGGGAGGGGTCAAAGTTGCTTTCTCTAAGTGCTATCCCGACCATAAAACTGGCACCTTTTTGATTCCGAAGCTGATAACGCGGGGCCTGACTGTTAAACTGACAAAGGGACACGAACCAGCCATTGGCATTTCCCTAAACAGCCTATCAAAACTGGCCCCCACACATGTTTCCGTGGCAATTGACCTTATTCTTTGTTTTATTACCACATCAAAAAGGAAACCCCTGTCTCACCCAAGTGTGACATTGTCCAGGACACTGAACTAACAATGTAAAGGACTGCAGTCTCCAAATACTCAAAGCATTTAATTAAGTTAATTAAATCTTTAGTTGCCTGAATATGTTTGCCTCTATTTGAGTAGTTATGTTAACTGTTGTTGCTATCTGTTGTTGATATTAGTGCTGAAAGAAGTTACTTGTGCAGTGTTTTTATTTTCAGCAAGACACTCCTTCATCTAATGTAACCAATGCTTGTTCATAATACTTTCTTACAAAATCCCTTTAGAAATGATGACAAAGGAATGTTTTACTATACTCTTAATCGCCAGCTTGAATTTAAGGATGAATCAACAAATTCCCCGGTTCCTAAGGAGAGACGATCTTTGATTTAATCCAAGCTTTCCTCATGTAACCTGAGCTCCCCCAAGTGGACGAAATAAGTATTACATGCCCTCATCGGAAATACCGTTAAATGTATAAATATCCTGACCAATAATGTGACAATTGTTTCCTGTTACCAAATGCCTAGAACAGTACAACCATTCAACCATTGAGGTTCGATTGTGGAAAATATTTGATTATAATACATGCAAATAGATTTCTTTTCTTTAAACATTAAGTTTAGAAAGGCAGTCCCTGGGGAAACCTGAGACGCCCCCTGGGGAACCACGCCCCAGGCAACAAAAGAGCGACACGCGACCTGCTCGTTCTCTCTCTCCCTTCTCTTCGCTTCGCTGTTGGCTCTTCCACTCTGCCCTGCTCGCTGGATGCTTCGGCACGCGCAGCGTGCCTCGCCAGGCAACGCCCAGACTCGGCCAGCGAAACAAACAGGCTCCTTTTGTTCGCCTGAAGCTACACACCTGAAGTGCCGCGACATCGATCTGCCTTCAGTTTGTTTTATTTTCTTTATTTCTTTTGTTTGTTAAAGTTATCAGTCCGTTAAGTTACACTGGACTAATTCAGGAACGACCAAGTTCCATTTTAAGCCTTTTTCGTCGAAGCCAACTTCGCAGAGGTCAGACCAAGCCACGTGGTCTCGCCAGCTACAACGAAGGAAACCTGAAAACAGCCGAATTGCCAGACGGAGGAGGCGTTTTCAATCAGACACGGAGAACCCCGGAGAATCCCTAGCAAAAAGCCAGGATCGGCAGCTAGCGTGGGACCCGTGCAACAGGCCGAAAGCAGGCTGTCGACAAGCAGTAAGACTTAACACACGTTCTGTGATCAGATGTCCATTTAACTCCTAAAATCACAGCATTAGTTTACTTTCATTAGCTCTTCTATGCCGTATGAGTCAAATGCTTCCCACAATCGAACCTCCAGGCTCATTGTTCAGCAAATGTTTATGTTCCCTGTATCCAACCGTCTTTTTATCACCTTAGTTAGAGAATAAAGTCACTGTAATATAATCAAGAGCTGTGTGTGTTGCCTATTTATAGTTCCTGCCAAGAGAATTGACCCTTTAGATATGAGACTGACTGACTGATTTAAGATAATTGAGCGATTATTAACTAACTGATCACTAGTAATAATTGTATAATTATTCAAACTACCTAGAGGTCCGGAGACTCTAGGATTATAACAACTCCGGTGGTGCCCTTAACGAGGAAAAATGATTTTATGAATCTTAAAAATTCATAATTGGGTATCAATTCTCATAAATTTATTAAAATGCATAACTAATAAATTTAGGTCTACTACACAGTATACACATACTGTTTTAACTGTATGTGTATAGGCTATTTGTTATAAATGTGTGCTCCTAAAAAACTATTAAACATTGTGTGCCAGTCACATACATAAAATGTTACAAATTTGTTACATATGGTAGATACCGTGAGTGGGGATACGTGGTAATGTGATTTTTGTCCCAGTAATCTCAATTTTGGGGGCCTAAACATGCTTGGAAACTCACCAAACTTTGCACATAATACATAAAACATTTTTTATTTTATGGGTTTCTTGCATGGACGTGGCAAAATGGCTCCCTAGCGCCCACTACAGAGCAGCCACCTATGTGTCCAGATGTACAAAAAGCCTCTTGGACACCGAACCAACACCCACAGGAGTTCAGCCATTTTGGATTTAATGCGCATTTCTGGGGATTTACACACTTTGTACTTTAACAAACTCCATCCATCCATCGTCAACTGCTTATCCTGCGCACATGGTCGCGGGGGGCTTGAGCCAATCCCAGCTGACATCGGGCGAAAGGCGGGGTACACCCTGAACAAGTCGCCAGTCCAACTTTAACAAACTCCTACTATGGAATTGGTCCGATCGACTTGAAATTTTCGCTTGATGATTAATTGTTGTACAAACGGTTATTACAAGTCGACCGGCTTGCCCGTGGCGTATCGTCAAAAAACGAGGATTTGCCATCAAACAGGAAGTTCTTATAACTTCAGTATACATGCTCACATCTACAGCAAATATAATTGTATAATAAGAGTCCTGCCCTGAACACATCCATATGCCAATATTCACTCGAGCACGTTGGACATATCAACTTCAAAACTGTCACAGAATACCCTTAACACAATGATGAGGCCATGTTGTAAAATTTTCAGTTGTAAAATTTTTGATCTGTAGCTCCACAAAGGGGACCAAGAAGTGACGTTTAACACCTCTGTGCAGCGTCCGAAGCGAAGTGTGGCAAATTCACAGCTGCACCGGCAGTGCCCCAGAATGTGCATTGCGGCCGCCTCATACTTTGACGTGCTACACTTGCGAGGGCCTACACTACGCTGCTTAGATAGATTATAGTATAGTTTTTGTTCTGACCTGTTGGATTTAACCTTGTTTTGTCAACCTGTTTAGATCACTTTGCCTTGTTTAGACTATTTGGCTTATCAGGATTCTGCCACTGTTGTAGTAGGTGCACGTTTTGTTGAATAAATTATCAGAACACATCCTGCCCGTACTAGTGTTTTGTATTTGGGCCCAATTCCTCTGCGTAATCTGCATAATCTTATAAATTACTTTCATCAGGTGGCTAGAAACACAAATCCAGATGAAAGTAAATGTTGCTCTGTATCTCCTGGATGTGTAAATATGAAATTAATCACATTTGCCATAAAATGTTTGAAAGGTGATAATATATCAGGACTTTAAGTTTAGTCACTTTTTGTGGAGTTCTTCTGCCCTCACATGGTCTCAACTGGCCAGCAAGTTTGGTAACTAGCTTTACCCACTGAATTCTAAGTCAACCAATGAGGTCAGTCATTCATGCACAGCATTTATACTTGTAAATTAAATTCGAAAGAAATATGTTGTAGTAATATGAAATGTAATATGAAAGGTTGTTTATCAGAATCAGAAAATGCTTTATTTTACAACACTGTACCATAATGGTAAAGAATTGAAAAAGAGAGTTATTATTTAAAGTTTGAATAAAATTTCTTAAAATACTCAATGAAAATGTTCAGTGGCTTTACCAGTTTAAAATACAATCATTTTAAATTTATAAATATAAAAAATAAACTCTTTATATGGGTTTGTTTGTCTAAATGTTACCCTCAGGCAATATTGTACCATTGTGGAACCGCCTATAGGAATGAATGCAAAAATAGAGTACACTTATTTCAACAAAGTTTACAATAACAATCTTTAAATCTAAACATCAAAAACATGCTCAAAATCAAGACAGAGCTTCCTTCTATCAATTAATCACTTGTGTTAGATTTAAATGTGTCTCTTCAGTTTTGTGGTGCCATTTCAGGTATGTGTTGCCTTGCAGCCATCTTTGGCTCAATACTTATGGAAGTTGACAAAACATAGAAAGTCAACAAAATGCATCACATTATCAGCAAGTGAAAACAAGCTATTAGGTAAATAGGTTTTCTCCCTATCTTATACTCATACCCGTCATTGCACTTTTATCCACACTGCTCTTCTTCACTCTTTTCCTCATTTGCGTTCTTAGACTCATCCTCACAATCACTCTTACTTTTCTTTCCAGCACCTCACTGTTTTCCTCACTACTAAATCCTTATTCATCCTCACTACCATCAACTGGAAGTGCCCTTGTCTTTAATGAACCATAGAAAACCTTTGTGTTCATCCTCTAAATGGAAGAACAATGTAACCCTATATAAGCATGAGCTCTGCAGGCAGGATAACAAATGTAAGATTAAAATATCCGGTGTAATACATAGTGTAATTTTTTTATTACAGTGTTATTACAACAAACATTATCAAATGTATAATTAATGAATTAATTAATGTAAAATGAGAGAAAATTATGTTAACTGTTATGCTTTTGATCAGTATATAAACCTAATGCACAACACCAAAAAATGGCACGGCAGGATTCCATAATTGTATGATGATTTGCATTTTAACTATTTTCCATTATATAATTATCAAATAAATTATATTAAACAACTAACAATGAAACTTTACTTACCTATTATTGTGAATATAATTTTTCTGGGTCAAAAAATGGCTTTGAGGGCACTTAAGTGCAGAGAGTGAATGGAGCTGAGCCATGTGTCAAAAGCAGCAGTAAAAGGATTCCTAATGGGCGCCAGAGAATCATGTGACAGATTTTAACACTGCTATTGGTTTCCTTAAGGCCCTGCAACTCTTTTAAAGTACTCCATCATATTTTGGGATGTTTGATGGAGGTGTACTAGGGCAAAAAGGGTATGTTGCCCAGAGGCAACACCGTACCATAGAGGGATATATATATATATATACATACACATATTTATATGTATATATTCTGATAAACAACTATGTATGTATGTATAATGTCTGTATTCAACCAAAGCAAAGTCTTACTTCAGAGTAAATGGAGTTCCATCTATCCATTTCCAGACACCCTCCTGATCTCTGTCGTTCAACCCAATCCAAATGGTTTTCTTGGAAAACTCTAAGACAAACTTCTGTTCAACGTAAAAATCCACATTATATTTGAGTTTTAAAAACAATATAAATGCAGTTTGTAAGTATTTATCTAAACTTATCTAGAAAAAAGTAAATAATAATTTAAATGTAAAATCGTTATTGTAACCTAGTCGTTAAATATTGTTGTGTATGTTCAGATATGTATTGATTAAATACATACACAGTATACAATGGTTTTATAAGTTGTTCTAAAACATAGAAAAGGTAATGGTAACTAACACAGTCACACACACACAGTACCTGCTCTTCAGGGGTGTTTATCACCAACAGATCTGCTCCTTTGCCTTTACAGTCCTCTCTGCCTTTATCCCAAGAACCAGACTTATCAGAGAGGAAATAACAGTTATGACTGAACATCTTCCATCCTGCAGGACAGGTTTTCTCTGTAAGATACATCAAGAGGCATTATAGATCAACATTACACTCATGTCTATATAATTGTAAAGTTAGTTCTATAGAACAACTAACATTAGGTTGGTGTAACTTTGTTGAAACGTTTGACTCAAATTCTTATTTTTCAGCATTTTTTAACCTGATTGACTGATTATGATGGTAATTATACACAGAACATAACAAAAGTTCAAAAAGACAAAAGATTTTGCACCATATATGTTGTCTCATTTACGAGTTTCATCTTATGTGGTGTGAAGCCAAGACAGCAAGACAGAATAATTAGCAGTGTGGTCAGAGTTTGTCATCTTTGAAGAGAGAAAGATTTTTTGTCACAATGTAGTGACACGCAAAGAGGACACCATTTTGCCAGTGGTCTATAATCATGTATTGATAAATACATCGCACATTTATGTTTGGCTGAATCATACTGTAGATATCTTCAAAAAGCAGAGTGACTAAATCATTGAATTTCTGAGTAAATGTTAAAAGATACACAGCAAGTAAATCTAAATACCACATGCGCACGGTTTGGACTAACTCTGAAGCTTTTCCAACTCTTCAGTCCTTTTAATGAGGCTGGCATTCAGCAGGTCTCTCTCTTTAGTCAGGGAAGAAAGCTTGTTACCTCTGGCCTAGAGAAGCTCAGTCAGGTTCACTTTGATAGAGGAGAGTTCTGCAGCTGAACGCTGTGCTGAATCATGGTCTGAAATAATCAAGAGACATTTCTCTGAAACACAAGATACCTTCTGCATTTATGTCAGACAGAAACAGTTATTGTATTTCAGTGGGATTTAAATGGGCCATCACTAACATAAATCAGCTGGGGACATGTCCGCACTACTTTTTGAAAAGGCTGATTTTGTCCCCATCACTTTTTGAAAGCATTTCTTAGAATAGTTCTCAAAAAACTTGCAACAGACATATAACTTCAACAGTTATATTTTTATATATTGAATTTCACCTGCCACCTAAATTTTGTGTTTCCCTTTATATAAATAAAACATTTCCACCAGAAATCAGTGCAGAAAATGTCTCCAGAATGCAAGAAAATAAGTAGGCCTTATGGAATGCTCACAAATTTCAGGGGGAGCCCCCCCCCCCCCCCCCGTCCCCCTTTCATATATTTCAGTATTTAATATTTCTTTCAGAAAGTCTGGTAGTTGTGAACCCAGTACTTTGCCTTGTCTTGTGAGCTAATCAGCGTGTCATCACACCCCTAATCTGAGCCCTTATGTCCCCCACCACTTTTCAACACAAAGTGACACCCTTGCAAGCCTGTCAGCAGTAGAGTAAGTAAGTTGCAAGTAAGTTGATGGATAAATGCTGAAATGATTCAAATATGTCACCATTGTTTTGTTGTTCAAAATACTGAAAACAAGACAATAAACCAAACAAATAGATCAGAAAAAATCCTGGACGAAAAGTGAAAAAGTGACACAACGCATTCAAAGTAGAATATTGCTCCTATAATCATAAGTTCAGCGTAACATTAACTTCTAAATGTTAACCAGACTCACGGTGGACACCGAGGCCAATTAGCCCAGTAGAAAACACTTAGCAACCCCAGGCGAACTGATCTGTATGTAACAGATCATTTAAGATGTTCTCTGAATCATGTTCTATACATGACACTGTAGTGGATCCTGACCTTCATGTTAAGAGACAGCTGTGCAGAACCCACACAGGAAAGCACTCACTCTGTTTGGACAAACTCTGAAGCTTGTCCAACTCTTCAGTAATTTCACTGAGGCTGGCATTCAGTCGGTCTCTCTCTTCAGTCACAGAAGACATCTCGTTATTAATGCTCTGGAGACGCTCCGTCAGGTTGGCTTTCACAGTGGAGAGTTTTGCAGATGAATCACGTACTGATTCACGGTCTGGAATAAATCAAGATACATGTTTCTTAAACAGAAAATGCTTATTCTGGCTTAAGTTTCTATGCTTAAGTAAGCATTTTGCTACTCTAGCTGCTTGGATATGACTTTGGGTCGTATCCAAAATCATGGGTGGGAAAAGTAATTTTCATAACAAATATATTTACAAAACAAGCACTTCATGAGGTCAATGTTCAATTTTATTATGTGGTGCTTTTCAAAATCAGATGTAAAAAGTGCTTAAATGCAAACAAGTAAAGAAAAAATGACAAACACGTTCATCTTTCAGAGCAGAATAACGCTCTTGAAAATCACAAGTTCAAACTGACGTTAATGTATAAAAAAACAGACTCACAGTGAACACCGAGGCCAATGAGCCCAGCCATCAGGAAAACACACAGCAGCCCCAGACAGAGAACAACAGCTCCATGAAATCTCCTTTCTGAGCACCTGGGACCTGAACACAGAATACAGTCAAGGATACAATAATAATAATAATGACAGATAATAATACACTTTTCTGCAGAGCTCAGTCAGTCAGCCTCTAATTATTCTTACTTGTCTGAGTTTGTGATGGTTTGGAGTCAAGACATTTGTCATATCCAACATTTACATAGATTTCCTCCATCGCTCATAAGAATGCTAAATACTTTGCGAAGAATCGACTTCACAGCACAAGTTACTCAACATGTAAATGGAGAAACTCTTGTTGGTTTCAGTTGTTTTAAACTTTAGCTTATCAGGAAGTCACACATCATAGATGGGGAATATAGTTTGTGTGACACACGCCTGTCACTACACTTGAAACATGAAATATTAGAAACTACATTTACTTAAGACGTTGCTGAGGAGAGGGATGTCTGGATTACAGTGCTTAATCTGCTGTAGAAAATGTATGGTTAACACAAATGCACAACATGACTTTAAACATGAATCTGTATTCTTCACAGTTTGAGACGACTCGCTAAATATATCTAAAGAGCCCCCTTTGTTGCCCAGACTTCCTCCAACCACCGGCGGATCAATGAATTTAAGGTTTCTCAGCCTGGTCTGTCTCTTCAGACAGCCCGAATACCTTTTTACAGTGTGACGGATGGATCCAGGTGGCTCGTTCAGCGATCTTTAGTGCTGTGGCAGTGGTGAGTAGGACATGGAACGGGCCTTCCCACCTTGGACTGGACGAGGTCTTTCTTTTTATGGCTTTGATCAGCGCCCAGTCCCCTGCTGTACCGCTGGATCTTCAGGTGTCAGAGTGGTTCCTGGAACAGAATTAACGGAAGAGATCTCTCTCCTTGTTAACATTTGTGCCATATAATCTGCCAGTGTCTGTTCTCTTTCTTCATCAGCTCTAAGAAATGGTTTAAGCTGTGGAATATTGTATGGTCTGCCATACATCATCTCAAAAGGAATCAGTCTTGTTGATGTAGGTGTGGTGAGGTGCATGTTCAATACTACTAGGGGAGACAAAACAACCAGTTCTTGACTTTAACCTTCTTTGGATAACCAACTTTCCTGTCTCTACTACAGTTTTCTACAGTTTTGATTTTATCGTTCCATTATGTCTTTCCACTAGTCCTGCGGACTGTGGGTGGTATGCACAGTGGTTTTCTAGTTTGATCATAAGTGTTTGTGCCATAAATGTCATTATTTACAAAATGTGGGCCATTGTCAATATATAGTTTCTCTGGGATGCCATACCATGGGATTATTTCTTTTACTATAGCTTTAGCTACTGTTAAAGCATCAGCGTGTGCACATGGAAATACTTCAACCCACTTTGTAAACATATCCATAATTACTAAACAATATTTCTTTCCTTCACATAGAACCTTTTTTGCTGTAAATACTTTGCTACCATCCCTCCTGTTGAGACATGGCATGGCCCATGGCTCAGTAATGCAGCATATTTAAATAAGCTGTTGGGAAGGATAGGTTTCCCTTCTGTTCAGGTATATAATCCTGTGTCTGCGTTTAATATGGCTCCTTTGTTTTTCCATTTTGCTTTCTCTGTATGTGTTGCGTTGTTCTGCATGTCTTTTGATACTTGATCTATATTAAGATCATGTGTGTTAGAGAGCAGCACATCTGTAGCGAGTGTGGCCTTCTTAGCTTCCTCATCTGCTTTGTGGTTTCCTGGTGAATTAGGATCTGTGTTTTTTGTGTGTGCTGCACATTTACAAATCGCATCCTCGTTTTATAGCTGTATTGCTGCCTATAAGTTCAGTTTGAGGCCTTTATAATTTATTGGTTTCCCAGTGTCCCTATTGTTGTGCAAACACATGTAACAGTTGAAAATGCATATTGGCTATCCGTGTAGATGTTAGCTATTTTGTTCTCAGCTAATTTGCATGCTTCAGTTAGAGCTACTAATTCAGCTGCTTGTGCAGAATAATGTTTTGGTAATGGCTTAGCCATTAGTACTTTGTCAAGAGTTACCAATGCAAATCCTGTTGCATTCATACCGTCTGGATTTTTCCCTGCTTGAGCCCTCTACAAACAAAGTCAACTGTGCTTCATCATATGGTGTGTCAGTCAAGCCTGGTCTCGGCAAGACACTTTGTGTTGTGTCTGACAGGCAGTCATGTGTTGTTCCATCAGTCTCTACTGGTAATAAAGTGGATGGATTCAAAGTTGTACATCGTTCTAAGTCAGGTGTGGTTGTGACAACAATACATGCATGAGAGATGTCTAGAAGGTGATAAGTAAGAAATCTTGTTTTGTAACAGTATTACAGTTACTGCATGAGGCACCATTAACACTAAGGGGTGAAATAACACTATGGTTGCTGATGCCTGAACTGCCATAGATGCGACTACTACTGACTGCACACAGACAGGTAGGGCTCTAGCCACAGCGTCGAGTTTACTGGAAAAGTAGGCAATTTGCCTGTTTTCCCCCATAGCTTTGCATCAGTACTGAGGTCATGAATCCATCTTTGCAATCAACTGTCTGTACAAACTCTTTTGAATAGTCTGGTAAGTCTAACACTGCTGAACTCACTAAAAGCTGTTTTATTTTTACAAAAGCTTCTTCTGCTTCAGGAGTCCAGGTGATCTGATGCTGATAGTGGAGTATCATAAATTAATGCAGAAGGGTGCTGTAGCTGCATAATTCATAAAATCCAGCTTCTGCAGAAGTTAGTCATAGAGGAAGAAGTTAGAAAAGACATCATTTGCCATTTTG